AGTTACAGTGTTGGAGGAGAATATTAAAAGCACCACAAACTGTCAAAAGAACAAACAGATCTGTGTTGGAAGAAGTGCAGCCAGAGTGCTCCTTGAAAGTCAGATAGCCAAACTTTGTCTCTCATACTTTGGCTATGTTGTCCAGAGGGACCAGTAACTGGAGAAGGACATCATGTTTGGTAAAGTGGAGGGTCAGAGAAAAAAAGGAAGACCCCCAATGAGATGAATTGGTAAAGTGGCAGCAGCAATGAGCTCAAACGTAGCAATGATTGTGAGGTTGGCCCAGGATCAGGCAGTGTTTGTTGTTGTGCATAGGGTCACTATGAGTTGGTACCAACACAATGGCACCTAACAACAACAAAATGCAGCAGTATATACAGCTGATTAGTGCAGATATGAAAGACTAGAGATAGAGAATGCCAGATAAGAATGCCTAGGCCTGAGATAATAAAAATTGAAAGATTGTACTGAGAACCAAGAAGAACAGATGGAAAAAGGCAGAGAACTTAATGACATACCTGAGGCGAAGAGCAATTCAAAGAAGAGCAAGAAAAGCCAGTGTAGTGAGGATATGAACACTATGGTTAGGAAAAATATATAACAAAGTCTTTTACTCTGTTGGGACAATGCCCAAGTATTTCAGCTGACAATATAATATCAGAAAGAACTGACTTTTAGAGAGGAATGGGGGAGTCTACTTTGGCAAGTTTCAAACTGTCCCTAATTTTACAGGGTCAGGATTTCAAGTCTGATTTTCATTTATGTCTAAACCTATTTAAACTCTCTAAAAAAATGATTTCCTGTTTTAAATAGAAAAAATATATTTTTTAAATTATTCAAGAGGCTTAAATACTTCTTAGACTTCAAACAACTCTTTAGAAATAATATTTTTATGATTTAAGTAAAATTAATCAAAAACATATGGATTGAATTTCCTTTCAAATCCACATCATGTTTAGAAAGTAATGGGAAGGCTCCTTCACAAAATGAGTTTGCTTTTTTATCAAACCCAAAATGACTCGAAAACTTGAAACATTCGAAATCTAGCCAGAGTTGTACCCAGCTCTCTGTGTTACTGAATATCAGAAACTTTCAGGCAATTTTAATGAATTTAGTCAATAAACCATGGCATTGGACTCAACAATTTGTGCTACTTATGGATTTTTTGTGACAGTTAAAAATCTACAAAATAAGGTAATACCGTTGAATCAGCTAGACAGTCAGGTGAGAGCTTCCATACACATCTAAGAGTTGCCATTTGTTGTCAGCAACCTAGGGTGATTTTCATGTTTTAAAAAGTTTCCTTTTGAATATGCTCTTTCCTGAGGAGCCATGGGAAAGCTAACTCTATTACTCACTGTTTGTTGCCCACCACCATCATACACACACATACACACTCACAACAGCAAAGTTGTGTGGCTTTTGCGTCTTAATCCTTATTTTGTGTCTGAAATCCCTATTAACACAAACTCCCAACTCCAGGTCTATTATCATCATCTTAGATCTTATTCACCATGCCCCATGCTTTTCCACTTAACCCCACCTCTCTTATTCCTGTATTGCATTCCTTCAAAGCCCTATTTCTCCTCTGCAAAAAAACAGGTAAGAATGGACTATTCACTAGATAAAGAAGTCCATAATTTCTTAACACCTGAGGAGTAAGAAGAACCTCATGGGCCCCTTAGTTCATCCCCATTGTTATCAGTCTAGTAAAGAGAGGGCCCCTATGGGACACAGCTGGTCAGTAGCTGAGCCAAGATTAGAGTGCAAGTCTCCTATTTCCTGTCCAATTTTCTTTCCCATTACACCACACTATCTCTCGGACACCTGCTTTTGACAAGTGACTTCATGACCCCTGAGTGACTGTCTTTTCTCTAAATCAAAAAGAAACCATTTCCCTGGCTCATGGATTATCATTTACTATCAACTCTCCACATGTATCCCAGCAAAGAGGTTTCTGTTTAGCCTTCCTAGAGAACTCTGTTAGCTGGGGAGTTATTAGGGTGAGAATAACACTCCCAGGGTGCTCCTGTCATAATTGATGATTTACTGTAGACTCAACTGAATCCCTGAGATCACATTTGTTCCATACAACCAAATTCATTTTAGGGTAGTGATTTTGCCCCTCTCCCAGGGGACATTTATCAATGTCTGATGAGATTCTGGGGTTTTACAACTGCAGATTCTACAGGATCTAGTGGGTAGAAACCAGGGATACTGCTAAACATTCTACGATGCATAAGGCAGTCCCACCAGTGAAGAATTATCTGGCTCCAAGCAGCAATACTGCCAAATACAGGACCATAATTTGGAGACTCATTGTAGACATGGAGTCCTGGTGTGGCACTGTGGATTAATGCACTAAACTGCAAGGTCGGTTTGAACTGCAAGATGGGTGGTTCAAGCTCATAAACTGCTCCTCAGAAACCCTATGTAGGATTCCTATGAGTCAGAACTGACTTGAAGGCACTTAACAACAACCATTACAGACATTATTCAAGAACCTCAGTTCATTCCCAGGTTTAAAGATAACAACCAGACTCTTCTGTCTTGAAGCATTCATTCAGCACTTATTATGTGTAGGACTGTTATTGTTGTTAGCTGTTGCAGTTAGCCCCTGACTCATGATGACTCCATTCACAACACAGTGAAATACTGTCCACACCTTCATCATCCCCATGATCGGGTGTGGATCAAATCATTGTGATCCAGAGTTTTCACTGGCTGATTTTCAGACATGGATCACCAAGCCTTTCTTTTTAGTCTATCTTAGTCTGGAAGGTCTGCTGAAACCTGTTGAGCATCATAGCAATTTGCAACGCATCCACTGATAGACAGGTAGGCAGTGACTAGGCATGAGATACTTCAGCCAAGAATTGAACCCAGGTCTTCATCATGAAAAGTGAACATTTTACCATTGAACCAACAGTGCCTCATTTGTGCTAGGTACAGCTGGCAAATTTGCAATGCAATCATCTTCATGAATAGGAATTAGAAACATAGAAAGCTATAATCCTGCAAGGTCCTAAACACAGGGGATGATAGTTTTCAATCAGATATGTTTCCAAGCATGTTATTTTACAGAAAAAATGTTGAACCCATTGGAAATCATGATGTGCCTCATCCATTTCTGGGATCAGTAGCAGACACTTGGACCTGGTGAGAAACTTTCAAAAGATGGATGTGGTATAACTGCCCCCAAATCATCCAAGAACAACGAGACAGGCATCAGTAAAGAATTCTTTGCAAAGTGAGAAATGGCCATATGGTTTCTTTTGTTGTTGTTATTGTTGTTCTGCCAAGTGGAAAGCAAACTAGGCTTTAAATAGTTCAAGAAATAAAAATCTCCCCTTGATACCAGGTTTGATTCACTTTCACCAAATGTCCTCCTGTTAAGCTCGGTGCTATCCGGAACATATCAAAAGCCTCTTTCATCAGTATTATTTCAACTTTGAGCACATTCCTTTAATTTAAGTCAGTATGACTGGTTTGTATTAAAATATTGGAAAGGTTCTTGGGTTTCAGACTGGTAGTAAGTCCATAAAAGAGCAAATGGCTTTTCCATTTCCGGGAAATCTAATTAAATGTTGTGAAAACAAATGAACTCTTGTGTGGTATATAATGGAATACTAGTGAAGAGTAAATATTGGATTTCTGTTGTTTGGTAAGCTCTTTGAACTCCGGAGAATGTGAGAAAAATACCATCCCAAGCTAGGGGATATTGAAGCAAGGAAACTGATAATTACAGACGCTCATTCAAAATTACTCCTGATTCTCCATGCTAGAGAAATCTAAACCAAGCTAAGGGAAGGCCTCTTCTGCAGGCTCAGGTACTGTAGCTCTTCTGCCAAGTGGCAAACTTTGTATCTGAGAGACATTGTTTCTACTATGGTTCCTATCACAGCCCTCAAATGAAAAAGGTAAATATGCCCATGGTTTTTATCTCCCTTTCAGTCTCTCAGTCTGACTTGGCAGTGGTGTATCCCTCCACAAGATGGCGGTCAGAGTTTATCTTTGTTTTCAGTTTGTCTCTTAAAATATTTGTAAGGTTGGTCATAACAAGAGTTTTTTTGGCGGGGGAATGTGGAATATTACAGTGTCCCCATAATATATATTCTTGACTGTCTTTCCAACCCACATACAATCTAAGCAAAAACAATTTGCTGGATATACAAAAACACCTTCAAGACAAGTTTTCTTCTAACCAGATTGCTTTTTGTAAACACATCCTATACTTGAAATTCTAATGTCTGTGGTACAATTTATATTTTTATAGAAAATATCACTTTGACTTAATTTACAAACTAGTGCAGGTACAATCAGATTTTACGGCTTATAATATTTCTGACCAGTTCCCTCACTTTCAGGAGGTCTTATCTAGAATAGTTATATCCCCAGGAAGGAAGTATCACATACTTCTCTGTACTGGCCTACCCAATATTCTTACTCAACTGATATAGATTGTTTAACTAGGATAGTGCTTAAAGAGACATAAGAATATACAGTCAGCCTAAATTCATAGGGTGTTCACTCTGTATGTTTTAATCACTCCTCCTGCTTTCTACTTGAAGAAAAGAATCAATCGTTAAAGACTTTTGTGCATGTTGAGTTTCTCATTTTCTAGAAAGCTGCCAAAATATCAACACTTGGACTGGCTGTGGGCTCCCCCAGGTCTGAACTCCATCCTTTCCCGCCAAGCCACTCCATAGCAGGAACAGAGTCCATTGATTCTACCATGAAGACGTCACCGGAAGCAGGCCAGTCATTGGCCAGAGGCAGAGTTAATCCCCGAGAGTGCGAATCTGCTTGCAGGTATGACAAGGCCCTGCTCAGAAGAGTGATCTGGCAGCCATCTCTGCAGCCATCTGCGAATCTCCCGTGTGTCTGTACTCTTCTTCTGGTCCTAACACCCACTCATTTCAGGTGAAACAGTCCATCCAATCCTTATTTCTACTTATGGAACAGTTGAGGAAAGCAGATCTATTCTCTTTGAACTCATCATGAATTCCATGAAGATTAAAGAGGACACCTCATTCACTGCTGCAGAAAATGACCAGGTTTCCAGGCCAGAATTTTCAGTGGATGCTGATGTGAAGCCAACAATCTCTGGCATACCTGATGGTCATTCTCTACCGTACATCAGAGAGTATGGCAGCACCTCTAAGCTTAGAAATGAAGGCACTAAGCATGACACAGCTCTTCAAATTGTGAACCTAGATGCAAACACCAAGAAAGAGTATAATTTCACTTTTACTATGCACATAGACTTCAGGAAATCAAGCCATGCTATGTTTATAGCATATGGTCAACCCAATGAGAGTATCTTCTCAGCTCTGAAGGCAAATGAGAATTTCCAAAGAGCGAATATTCATTCTAACAAGAACATTTTTGTGTACTGTAAAGAAAAAGAAATAGATGGGTATGTAAATCTAGGAATGCCTCTCAAGTGCCTGCCCTAAAATTCTCACTTAGAAGTAATATTTTGACAAAGAAAGAAGACAGTCAGATACTAACTACGTCATTGTGAAAACCCAGATGTTAAACGCATTCTTTTTCACATTGTTGCTGTTGGAACGACAATTAAGAATATTCTTAAGGTCAAGGATCTTCATGAAACAGGAAGTACACTTTGTGTCTATGCCTTAACGGGTGAGACTATCCAAGAAGCTGTGTATAAGGATGGCAGGTTTCATTCTGACCTAAATGACCTTGAATGGACAGAAAAGGAAGGCCATAAAATAAATCATGGAAGAGTTCCTGGTGGATAATGTATCTGGAAAAGTCTTACAAATTGACTTTCCTAGAAGGAAATCTGTCAGGAACAGTATTCGTAAAAATCTTCAATGGCAGAATGGAAATGTCACTGGTGAAATCAATCCTTGCGGCTTGACACAAAGAGCAAGGTCCAGGATTCAGAGAGAGGTAGAGAGACTGAAGACAGAGAGTATGGGAGGCATGATATGGAAAGGAAAAAACAGCCAACAATGTCTAAGATTATTTGCCCTTGTAGTAGTCTCCCAAATGATAGGAAACTAAACTCACAACATCGGCCCAGTCCCTCTCTGTGTAGGCAGTCCACTGTTCATTACGATAGCCAGGAGGATGTGACTAATATCCAGCTAAAGAACACACAAAAATTGAATAACGTTATGCAACAATATCCAAATTTTAATAAAGTTTCACTTTTACTGACAGAGTATTTTCAGGAAGAACAGAAGAGTAGAAACGTGTCAGCAGTTGAAAAATTCCACATACTTCAAAAAAAGAACTTTGCTAAAGAGACTGCGAATTCTAACTCAGTTGCAACCTATGGAATGTCTTATTCCTCTTAGTAAGTCAGTTGGGTTTATACAAGGGAACAACACAAGCATTGTCAATGGCACTTGCTTTCACTTAAAGGATGGTTGTATTTTGTCCTGTCTACATGTTGTACAACTTATCATAGGAGAAGGCAAACATCCAAGTTTATGGCCTAATATAATTAGTAAGTGTATAAAGGTAACTTTCTATTACAAAGAGTTTTGCCCTCTTCATCCCAACTGGTTTTTTTAAAGCCATGGTATGAAATGTGTGATGGAAATCTATATTATTTAATCTTAAAACCAAAAGAAAATGTAAATGGATTTCCTCCAGCCCTATGTGGACAAATTGATCATCAACCATCTAGTGGTCTGATTTATTTAATTGGTCACCCAGAAGGCTGGATCAAGAAAATAGATGATTGTACTGTGATTCCTGCAAAGCAGCAGTCCAAGAGGTATTCAGAGCATCAAGTTGGGCTAGAAGAAATCTATGTTGCACCTGATAATTCTTGTCCTATGTGACCTATGTTTACCAACAGAAATTTTCAATCAGACAGTTGGAGTGTTGACAAACTTAGTTATGACACTTACTTCTCCTCTGGCTTCCCAGTATTTACTGAGTCTGGCAGACTTGTTGCTATGCATGCCTTTGGGCATTTTTATACACACTCAGATACAGTTTATTCTCTTATTGAATATGGTTATTCTATGGTTTCTATAATTAAACATAAAGATGAGAACTTTTATAAGTTATTATTTGAGGAGGAAAATGAGGGCCACTATGAAGAAACAAATGAGTAACAAGAGTCATCACCTCAGGATCACCAGATTGAACCCATAGAATTGGCATAATGTTCATAATCAACAAATATGACAGAAGTGTTTAAAGCAGAGTGTTCCATCCAATAGTACTATGGGAGATCTGTGTCATATTGTAATTATATACTTATAAGCTTATTCAAGGGACCATAGTGTTTATTCAAGAGATGGGTCTCTTTTCTTAATTCCTACCTTTTGAGTAACGGGTTCAGGTCCTACTCTCGACACTGGACTGACTCATTCTTTCTGTACCAGTTCATGTGGATTGAAATTCCTTGTTTTACTGATTTTAGTTTCCATTTTAAGGTTTAGTTACTAGAAATTACTAACAGAAGGAAAACTAGACAGAAAATATGTAGAAACTAAATCCCACGTTATTAAACAACCAATGGATCAAGGAAGAACTAAAGAGATAAATAAGGGTTGGGGGGAATAAAACATGGTGTTGAACAAAAATGAAAACACAACATTCTGAAACCTATGTGATGCAGCAAAGGCAGTCCTCAGGGAAATGTATAGCAGTACAGGCCTACCTTTAAAATAAGCATCTCAAAATCAGTCTAATTCTTCAACTTGAGGAACTAGAAAAAGAACAAACTAAGCCCAAAGCTCCAGAAGTAAGTAAACAAAAAGATCTGAGCAGAAATAAAATAGAGACAGTCAACAAAACTAGAAGTTGGGTACAGCCATTCAAAGTACAACAATTGGTCTCTGATCACCTGAGAGTGCAGAGGAAAATTCAAGATAAAAATGAGTGGCCATTTAAGGTCTCTCTGTGGGCAGTAGAAAGAAGAGTGATAAGAATTAAAGAGGCTTGGAATCATTTAATCCAATGGACTAATGGAATATGTGAACAGCATAACTCAGACCAGAAGACCTAGACCGTGCCCGACTACCACTAACAACTACTCTGAAAGGGATCACATTAGATACAG